TAAAAATATTTGTCATAATCATGTCTTGTGATTGTTTGACAGGAGTTTTACTTTTAAACTGTAAGTGTATTTAATTTACTTATGATGTAAATACAATACAAATTAAACCAAGATTTAGAATAATTATAATTTTGATCCATACATTGGTAATGTCTGACTGGAACTCGTGTCACTTTATGTTCAACAAATTAGAGCCCGAGGTCATAAAGGTTAAGAAGCCCTGCTGTAAGCACTACCATATTGTGTGGGATTCTTTAATTTGACCAATATGGCTATAATCCTGTCATTTTTAACTTAAAATAACCTTAGTCTAAACCTGTGAGATGAAAGGTGGCAGGTGAGATGCAGTCCTTCATGGAAAAGTTGGCCTTTTATTCTGAATGTTTTTCTACATTGTGCTGGTGATTGTTGATGGGCAGGCAAATAAAATAAAATGAGCCACATTTACAGTATTTTACATATTTAAATGGAGGCGGGAGGAGTTTCAGATGTGCTCAGTTCCACCTTTGTTGGGATGTGTAAAGGAAAGGAGTGCAGAAACATGTGCTTGTATGGTTTTATACACCTGAATATTTTTTGGCGTACGCCATTTTCGCCTTTTGGCCATACGTTCGGTTTCCACACAATCCTTTCTATCGCAGGTTTGAGCCCAGTGGCATCAGGAAGGAAATCCAGCATCAAACAATCATTAAATGTTTAATGATAAATTTACAGTTGTGGTGTTGACACCTGCAGAAAGGAGCAGCTGAAAGAAAAACAAACATAAACATGACTAATGTGTAGTGACAACATGTTTTCAACTTTTTCTCATTCACACTTTTCTCATCTTCAGCTCCTCAGAGTCGCCCACCTCGGTACCGGCCGACGAATACTGTACAAATACCGCAAACAGGTACTTGATTTTGCTACAAAGGTATTTATGCAAATAAGAATGAATTTGTATGTTTGAAAGTTTTTTTCTTAAAATTCCCAGTAGATATTTATGTAAATAGTTTTTATTTATGTAACATTGTTATATTGGCAGTTCTAGTTAAAATATTTAACTTTTTAACCAATATTATTTTCCCATAAAAAATACTTTAACTTCTGCAGACTAGCTCGTTTTTATCAACTTTTAGTTATAAATTAGCCATGTTTTAGCTGTTAATCATTTTTCTACTTTAAGGTTTTAGCTACTCTTTTGGTACTTTTATTTTTTTAGCTAGTCTTTCACTTCTTTTAGTTCTTACATAGGATAATTTTGGCTAGCATTTTTAATCATTTAGATATGCTTTTAGCTAGCATTTAGCTACATGTAGTTTATAGTTAGTGTCTAAATATTTTTAACTKGGTTTTATTCTTACTTTTAGCTTCTATCTTGCATTTTTTTGGCTTTTCTTTAGTGTTTTGCTCAATTTAGCTTTTAGCTACTGATCTGCTTTTTAAGCTTTAGCATTTCAGTTTCAGCTTTTTAMCAAGTTTCAGCAAAGTTATTCTAAAGTTCATGTTCACATATTTCTATTGAAAAACATATTTAGTTTTTTCTGTTTTCTGAGTTTTGAATCAGAAGATAAACTCTGATGAGGCTTTGTGTCTTAAATAAACTAATTATTAACTAGACATGGGTTTTTACGGTGTAAAAACAAGTGTGCATTACCATGTAGCATGTCATTGCAGCATGGCTTTGCCTGCAGCATTGGACTTTCAGAATGAAATGCGACCAAGTTCAAATGTGTTTTTTACCAGCTTGTGCTTGTCAAGTCAGCAGGTGTTTGTAACAAGAGTAATTGTGCAACAATATGAAGTTTGTAGAGATTTTTTGTTAAAGTTGCTGTAGCTGGGTTTTGAACCCTGATCTCCCACATGAAAGCCCATAGAGTTAACCATTAGACCATTGGAGCTGTGGCAGAGGACACTGCCAGGGGTTGGTTTGCATGTGTGCAGAAAGAGGCCACATTGCCAATGCAATTGTTGACACTAAAATGCATAATATTACAACAATAGAGCAATATTAAGACAATATTATAGTAAAACATCAAAATACTATCATATTAGTATTGTAGCCACTGAAATATTGAAATTAAAGATTATTGAACTATGGTTCAGTACTGAGTAGATACAGCAGGGGCAGTATTGGACCAATACAAGGCTCCAATGACTGCCATTATAATTTATTAAACATTAATATTTCATAAACTATAAGTTGTACAGGCACCAAAAGGCATAGCCATCATTTGGCACAGGAGCTTTACAGATATAAATTACAATGGCAGCTCTAGCACAAAGTATGCAGGAGGAGAACCATGCCAAAGTGGAGATGACTTGGATGGGAAATGAATCACATCAGTGAAACTTTTGTTTGAATAAAACAAGCTCATTATTTGATGAATCCAGTTATTATTGTGGTGTTGTTTTTCCTACCAGAACAAGCTGGCAGAGATCCTTTATGACTCGACACGGGTCAGTTTTACCTACGATAAGACTGCTGGCGTACTGAAGACAGTTAATTTGCAAAGTGAAGGCTTCATCTGCTCCATTCGATACCGTCAAATCGGCCCGCTGGTTGATCAGCAGATTTTCCGCTTTAGCGAAGACGGGATGGTGAATGCACGTTTTGACTACACGTACGACAACAGCTTCAGGGTGACCAGCATGCAGGCTGTGATCAACGAGACGCCGCTGCCTATCGATCTCTATCAGTTTGATGATATCTCTGGGAAAGTGGAACAGTTTGGAAAGTTCGGAGTTATCTATTATGACATCAATCAAGTAAGAACACAACCAAAACATCCTCATTATTTAACAATTTTATGTTCAAATCTTGTTCTGATATACAGTATAATGTGTGTATTATCGTTATGTATGACAAATGTTGTTCTGTGCATTTAACCCAGCGAATGTGAGATACACCCTAGCTCAGAGGTGGCCCACAGGTGCTATGAAAATACTGCATTTGGGCCAGATGTGCCACAAATACAGAATTATTATTTCATTTTTAGGCTTATTTGGTTCAGCCCTGGACCAGATCTGCAGCCGGTGTCAGGCAGACTCATGATCCCAGCCCAGCCCGGAGCTGGCACATTTGTGTAAACCCTCTGCTAACTGTTATGCAGATCTGGCAACATGTAAACAGATTTGGGCCAGATCTGAATGCTGGTGGTTTTGTCTGTGCCTCTGTCTGTATCTAGACAGAGAGAGATCAGTCACAGCCTGTCAGTGTTGGGTGCAGCCTGAGTGAATGTATGGTGGAATCAGCWGATGGACAGGGCTGTAAAGTCACTGATTGGCTGAGGCTGTTACTGGGCAGAATAGCCTCTGGACTTACAAAACAAACAAGGTGCTCTGTGTAATTCAACATGGCACCCAGATTGCTCAACAGTTTTAAGACATACAAAGCTGAAATTTGTTGGGTTGGTAGTTGACCCTGAACACTAACCACAACCGCTGATCACTTGGTTGCAAAGACTCAGAATTCAGTGAGACTGCGATTGAAAATTAGCTTTTATTCTTTTAAATTTGTCACAATTAAGAGTCACCAGCTTGTCTCCACCAGTCACAGCCCAGTGAAAGGCTACCTCAGAGTGAACCTCCCAGTTCTGTTTGAAGACTCCTGGTGAAAAAGATACAGTTAAATCATCGATGTGACAAAATCCTGTTAAATAATAGATGTTATACACAGAATAAACTTATCTCAGTATTAGTTTCTTTACAACAGATAAAGTACATGATTGTTTTATGTGTGCGTGTGTCAGATCATATCCACAGCTGTGATGACCTACACCAAACACTTTGACCAACATGGACGCATCAAGGAGATCCAATATGAGATCTTCAGGTCCCTGATGTACTGGATCACTATCCAGTACGACAACATGGGTCGGGTCACCAGGCGTGAGATTAAGATCGGACCATTTGCCAACACGACCAGATATGTTTATGAGTATGATGTTGACGGACAGCTGCAGACGGTCTCCCTCAATGAGAAGCTCATGTGGAGGTGAAAGCTTTCATTCAACTGAAAAACAGACAATGGGTTTTTCTGTGATGTTTGATGCTAATATGATGTTTTCTGGCATTTCCAGGTATAATTATGACCTGAATGGAAACCTGCACTTGCTGAACCCAGGAAACAGTGGTCGGTTGACCCCGCTACGCTATGATCTGAGGGACAGAATCACTCGTCTGGGGGATGTTCAGTACAGGCTGGATGACGATGGGGTTTTGAGACAGAGAGGAGCTGAGATTTTTGAATATAATTCCAAAGGTAGCGTGCAGATTATTATGTTGAGTATAACAAATTGTAAATGGTATATGGACTGTACTTGTATAGTACCTTTTCTACCCAACCAGGACACTCAAAGCTCTTCACACTACAATCTGTGTCCTCATTTACCCATTCACACAGCACTCTATTAGGTCTCTACAGAGCTAACATGCACAATCATCTATGGAGACTAATCAGTGCCAATCACATTCATACACTGATGGGACACATCAGAGGCATTAGGGGTGAAGTGTCTTGCCCAAGGACACAACAACTGAGACAGCCGGACAGGGGATCGAACCGGCGACCTTCCGGTTCCAGACGACTCCCCTAATCACTCTGCCACTGCCGCCCGCAGGGCTAAGTTTCATGTCCTTTCTTAAATTCTTGTTTCTTCATGAAAAGTGTTTAAGTTTATATTATAATAACTAACAATTTGATAACATTTGTGTTTTATCCTTAAAGTTAAGACAGCCAGACTTCTTTTCTTTTTTCATAAAAACATATCTGTAAGGTTTCAGGCAGAGATCGTCCAGGAGCACAGGCAAAACCAGAGTGCAAGAAAAAGGTTTTATTTAAAAGAAAAAAACTGTTGAGGCTTCAAAGTACACACAATACTTCTCAAAGAACACATGGAGACACCACACTGGCAGGGTAAGCAGCACAATGAACCAACAGGGAGGTGAAGYCAAGAMACAGAKTATACAGYTGAGTAAYCAAGGAACTGYTTGGAAACACCRGAGGAGGAATAATGAGGATCAGGTGTGRCTGGGAGGAAACACAGAGGCAGGGAAACACAGAAACACTYGAAAAATTAAGATAAACATAAACACAAAGCATGACATTATTACTGCTGAAGTGTTTGTCCCTGACCACCATCCATTCTGTGGGTTTGCTGGTGTCAAAATCTTTGAGCTTCTACACGACCAGTCAAAGGTTTGGACACACCCTCTTATTCTCTATTCTCCATCTCCTGCTGCTGATCCATAGTTGGGTCGTGGAGACAACAGGTCCAGGAGAGAAACCCAAAAWACCCTTTCCCCATTGACGCTTTCCAMCTCGTCCTGGGGGACRRTGAGGTCAGAACATGACAGTACCTCTCACTCAACGACGGCTCCAGCCATCAAAYAAGKGAGACACYGGARTCAAAGAAAAAACAAACCACAGGAAATACTCAAAGACAAAATGCACAGAAAGTCCCTGAGGACYGCTGGGAGACCCTCCAACACTGAGCAGGAGTTCATGTGGACAGCCGGGAGACCATCCAACATGGCCTAAGGGAGTTGTGGGAGCAGATGGGGACCCAAGGGAGGAGGCGGGAGCAGATTGGGACCTGGAGGAGGTTGTTGGAGCCTGAAATGCCCAAAATGCATGCCAATTATTTTCCCCATAAAATGATAGCATCCCACCACTAMWTGGAGGRGCACATGGCTCAAAATTAGTTGGCAACTYGCAAAATTAGCCGTGTAAAATCTCRATTTTGCTGCATTTTTGACAGCCACTTTAGTGTGTGTTTAAACACTGTTTCTGTGTACTAAATACGACATAGAGCTTAGCAATTGTTTGTTAGTGGTCCTCAGCCATAGCATTGAGACGAGAAACTCAATGCTTCAGGTTTAGTCAAAGTTAAACAAGAACTGTTGAAGTTAAGAAAAGAGGGCAGCCATATTGCCCATGTGATCCTCAGGGAAACAGAGTTTGACACTCCTGCTGTAAATGATACCTTAGACCASTGTTTCCCAAAGTTGGTGTCGGGACCCAAAGTGGGGTCCCGAAACATCAAGGTGGGGTCTTGAATAGATTTTCCTGAATTAATTACATTTTTGCCTTAGTTGTTACAAAGGAGTGAGGTTAGTATATTTAAAATGGATAAATGTAGTATAAAAAATATTGTTACTATTACTACAGGTCTCTGCTACTGTTATGTTGTGGGTCAAATGCTGAAAAGTTTGGGAACCACTGCACTTTGGTTCCCAAAGTTGGGCTTGGGACCCAATTACGGGTCATGAAGSACCTTGGATAATCTCCTAAAATCAATTTAAAGGGTAATAAAATAAAAGCTTATGTAAAATTTTCCCTATAATTATTACAAAAACACAAAATAAGTATAAATAAGTATTTATATTTGTGTACAAGCTGTTTAGATTGTCAAAAAGCCTGTGTTTTAGGGTTATTAACAAAGTTCGTGTACTCAGACCAGTAATATTTGGGATCACAAGTTTTTGCCATGAATATTTTGTGGGTCAGAAGATTAAAAAGTTTGGGAACCACTGCCTTAGATGACTGATAATCTGTTACAATTCAGTTGAAATGTTTCAGCCTACAAGTTTATTTTTCCACATTGTAACATTTAACTATTAGATTCTCATCTTTATTATTGCTGCATATCCTTTTTATTTTCAGGTCTGTTGATCCGTGTTTACAGCAAAGCAGCCAGTTGGACCATCCAGTACCGTTATGATGGCTTAGGTCGGCGGGTGGCATCGAAAAACAGTTTGGGCCAACACTTGCAGTTCTTTTATGCAGATTTAAACTACCCAACAAGGATCACTCATGTCTACAACCACTCCAGCTCTGAGATCACATCCTTCTACTACGACTTGCAGGTAATGCACAACTCTGAGTATGTCAGGACATTTGCTGTTGTGTTTGGTGTCAGTAAACTTACAAATAAAAACATAAAAATACAAAAAGGGCAGCAAATAAAAATGCCATAGTCATTTTGCTTTACTTAGAAGAAATGTTTTTGTGCAAGTGATTGTCTACATGTGATACAATGTGACCAGTATCTGTTGAAAATCAGSTTAGCTCTTAAACATCTGTGGAGGCATCTAGACTTCCTGYCACGTATCAASAAGTCAYTTTGTTCTGAAATTTCTACACAGATATTGAAACGAAGGTCTTATAGTCAGATAAAACTAAACATTTAGACCATCATGGACAAACCCATGTCTGGTTCAGACCTGCTGAGAACACCATCACTACAGAGACGCATGGTGGTGGCAGCATCATGCTTTGGGGATGATGACTGTTTTAGGCAATTACCTGGAAAGATGGATGGAACAAAATATAGACTTTCTTTAAGTCAGACCTGCTTGAATCTTCTGGAAATTTGAGATTGGCACAGAGGTCCACCTTCTGTCAGGACAATGAAAATAAATACTGCTGAGTCAGCAAGGAAATGTAAAAAAAACACATCACAGAACAGAAGAGGGATAACTAATGAAAACGTTGGAATCTCAGATTGTGSCAAATCTTCACTTTGAGGTAGTTTCCCTTTTAGGCAAAAAATGGAAAAGAACAACTTCGTTTTAACAGGAAGAAACCTCAGGAAACATCAGGCTCAGAACAGAACAAGTAGACTAAATAAAAACAAACACACGTTTGTTTTGGCAAAAGTGTTTTATGCCAGATAGCCTTTCTGACTCAGCCCTCATCATTTAAACGGACCTGGGACCAGCGTAACAGATCCACTGCCTTGTGTTCCATAGTGACTGCCAGTGGTGGGCACCAGCCCGCTAAAGCGCAAATCCGCTAATTGCGGACCTAAATATTTTGTTTGTGCTTTAGCCGTTTTACTAATTTTTATAATTCATAAGCAGATTTGCGCTTTCTAAAATTAAAATGCAGTATCACTAATAACTAATCATCTACCAGTCATCATTATCTTGAACAGCAGAAGGTATGACTGTCAATGAATCACAACATGTGATCTATCCAACAACACCCCTCCCAGATAAACACACTTATTGTGAAGGTATACATCCTGCTGACTGTTGCTTTGGGTCACGGTTCTCTTTTCCCACAATGCTTTGTGTCTGCTTACGTAGCAGGAAGGCAATAGCAAAAACAGTTAACGTTTGTAATCCATACTAAAATTTTATATGTATTGATTTATTCTACTTTACAATCAGAGCTCCTTTTAAAAAATAAAGTTTTAACACTGGAGCTCAATACTTGACGTAATTGGTCGAAGAAACGGTGTTAGAGATTCAGAAATGATTTAAAGATGTTATGCTGATGAAGTCTGACATCTAGTGGTCAACTGSAGCAACTACATGGAAAACTTTAAAATCCAAGCTCTTATTTTGAAGGGAAGATAGTTTCCTGCATTCTGTGCTTTCGTTTCCCATCACAAATCAAAGCTGTCATGTACCCAGAATGCATCGCTTCAGTTTTCCAATAAACAGTTTTAAAATTAATTTATTGATGCTTCTTTAATGAAAAATCTACAACAAACAAAAGAAAAAGACAAAGAAGCAGCCGAACTAGCAATCCTCAACAACRTTTTAATTTTTACACCAGGAGCCAAAGGTCTGTTTCAGGAAATCACATCCCCAGCAATCGGCGGTTGTAGGATTAAGTTGTAAAAAAGTTCATACACCACTAGTTGGCAGTGTTGTACYTATATTGTACATGAATTATTGCCAGCTACTAAGTGTCAATTTGAACTTGCGCATAATTAGCTTCCACTCYTTTTTCTATGGTATAAGCGCTTTTGAGGTTGCGGACCTAAATTTTTATATAAGCGCATTAGAAATTGCGGAGCTAATTTTTAGATTAGTACTGTCCACCACTGGTGACTCCTTTATAAGATTTACTCATCAATGATGAAAAATCATTTCAAGCCACCTTAAATCCATCCAGTGAAAACGTGTGTTTGTTTGTGTGCACAGGGTCATGTCTTTGCCATGGAAATCAGCAGTGGAGATGAGTTTTACATTGCATGTGACAACACTGGGACTCCACTAGCTGTTTTCAGCAACAATGGACTTCTGCTAAAACAAGTATGGAGGAGTTTTCCTGTAAATAATCTGTTCACTAGATGTTGTGTGTTTGTAGCCGATCATGACTGTGTGTGTGTTGTGTGTGTAGGTGCAATATACAGCGTATGGTGAAGTGTACTTTGACTCAAACCCAGACTTTGTGCTGGTGATTGGTTTCCATGGGGGGCTGTATGACCCACTGACACGACTGCTACATTTTGGGAARAGAGATTACGACATTCCTGCAGGAAGGTAGAAAACTWGTTTCTTCATTTCCAGACCAACGTGTAATTGTAGTGAAGTACCATCTGTGTAATTTATCAGTGTGTAATTTAATCTGCATTTCTTCTTTTTTAACATGAAGATGGACGACTCCTGACATCAGCACTTGGGCACGAGTTGGAAAAGATCCCCAGCCCTTTAACTTGTACATGTTTCGAGGGAACAACCCCATCAGCAAGATTCATCAGGTCAAAGAGTATGTTACAGGTAACAAGTCAAATCTGATCAGTTTTCTTTTTCTAGTGCCAACTTACCACAGTATAGAATGTTTTATTTGTTTGTTTGTTCGTGTTTCTGTAAAATCCAAGTATGGATAGGTAAATATATATATATACAGTATACAGAATACAGAGGGGTG